CTTAAATCATTCGATCGTTTCCCCTCCCCCTCTCAGATAAGAAATGATGTCCGCACGTCTGGTAATTAAAGATAGAGGGAGTGGAAAAACGATGTGGGAGGAGGATGGAAGGAACAAAGGAGAAAATAGAAGAATGGAAAAAAACACTCAAGTTAATTTAGGGGAGATGAAAGGAGGCAAGATTGTCGCCAGCATGCGGTCTTTACCTACCGTGCTGCTCACATGCCGCGATCCATTACAGTATTGGTCATGAATGTTTGAAGGCCCGAGTTGCATACATCCCCACCCCCAGCCCCACACAAACTTCCCTCTCCCCGTATCCATGGTGTCTCTAACCCCCTGCTCATTTCGTAGGTATTACAGCGCAGATGAAGGTACAAGCTTCGATGCGTACTTGGCTCGTTTTGACAGTGATGCAAAGGGTGGGGTAAGTCCCAGGGCGAAAAAAAATCCCTCGAGTACAAAGTTTTGTCAAGCACGAACATAGGCATGCTACGAATGCAGTGAGTTTTTTGTTTTTTTTTGGGGGGGGAGGAGGGTGTTGAAATTGAGCACTAAGTAACTGATGATTGCTTTTTTATTAAAGAAAAAGTATTTCCCAATGAAGATATCCGTCAATGGGGAGCAGACCTTCCATTTCATCTGAAATCAACTCAGACACGAGTATCTTATGTCAATTGCCACTGGCGTCTGAAAAATTGTTAGCAAAAATTAATAAACTGCATTGCTGCCGCGCCTCTCGTAGAGTCCTTCACAACCTAACTAAAGAAATTTTGCGGTCTCCGTTCTTCCAACAAGTGAAAGTATAGTGAACGAAGAAAAAAGCATCATATTTCAAAAGCTTTCACGCGGGCATAACAACATTATTTGGTTGTTGTGTATCTTGACTTTGCCCCGTGCCTGCGGAACACGTGAAAAAACGCAAGTTGTTTTCAAACAAACTTCTAATCACGTGATAATTGCGTGGAAAATTGACTAACAGTAGCAAATTGCCACTTGAAACTAGAGGTGACCGGTTGCCAGTTTTAAAGGGGCGAATCACCAGCGAAGAGACCTTAAATTGTCTGCTGACTATTCGAAATGTGCATGATACTATTAATGCCTCTGCTTTGAGCCATCAAATAGGCAGTTCTGAGCCTCTACAGAAGACTAACATTAAAATATTTTGGATCTTACATGTAAGAAAACCAAAATTTCAGATGTAGGCGAAACGCAAACAGGTGAATATGACCCTCATTGTATTGTAACGATATTGTTTTGTTTGTTGTTTCCTGCAGCCTGTTGAGATAACCAGGGAAGAGTTCATTGAATATTACACCAAACAGAGAATCAGCTGCTATAAAGATGATGATTACTTCATCACTTCGCTTAAAAGGTCTTTTAACCTCTAAGGTTAATTCCAGGGATTCCCCTTAGTCCAGTCCTTGACTGAGTATGACTATGATTCCTCTTTGGTGTCAAGTTAAAACAAAGGCGCAAATAAAATGATTGATTGCACCTTGCAGAAGCGTCTTATTTCCTCCAGACTTCATTTTAAACTTGAAAACAATATTGCCGTAAATATGATGAGCGATGGTAAATCTTAAATCCCAGTCGTCTGATAAAGAAAGATCGAAGAAATGACCGAAGGAGAGCAAAAATGTCTTAACCCCTCCCCCCTTCTTTCACAAGGATTTGAGCCCCGGAATTTTAGGGTCAGCGGTCGGCCGTGGGTTGGTCGTGGGTTGGTCAGCAGCCCGCTCGTCGAGAAATTTCGGAAACTTTATTAGGAATGAAGTGCGTGGGGAAAATACTTAATCAGCACAGACGACTGAAGAGGGTAAGTTGGTGACGAAAGAAAATCTAGATTTTTTTTCATCATGGGAGGCCCATCTCCTCTTGTAGACTCATTAGTGTTGTACACAAGCAACACATATATCGGAGGAAGGACTTTTTCTAGAAATAAGGGAGCGGTCATTGTTTATTACCGGGCGGGGATCGGAGCATCGTAATTTTTCGTATTTACCTGATCCCTTCCATGAGTCCCTGTAGTATTCTAATGCCCCTCCCCTCAGTCCCCCGACTCCGCCCCATCCCCTCCCGGGCGATAAATAATGACCTTTCCCCCTTATTTGCTTTTGACTTCTCTGTTCCCCCTCGTGTTCTCCTCATAGTCTTCCGACTCCGCAAGCCTCCTCCCAGGTGATGAATAATGACTGGTGCTCCTCATTTGCTATAAACTTCTCTGTTCCCCCTGTGTTCCCCCAAAGTTCTCCGACTCCCCCCCCCCCCCCACTTCCCAGGCGATAAATAATGACTGGTGTCCCTCATTGGCTACAGATTTCTCTGTTCCCCTTGTGTTCTCCTCAAAGTCCCCCTGCCCCGGCCCCGGCCCCGGCCCCGGCCCCGGTCCCCCTTTTCAAGGCGATAAATAATGGTAATTGAACTGAGTGGAGAGCAATTTGTGCTGTAATCATACACGTAATTACAAAATCGATTGAGCGCGCAGCGCGAGTTCAATTTGAAAACACAAGTATGATTTCAGACCAAAATTGCACGACATGAGGTTCAATTACCACTTTATTACATTCATTTTGAAATCGCCCAAATGCAGGACTTGGTCAGTTCAAATATTTTACTGATGCAGTACTGAGCCGGTTTGAAATTAAACTCATCCACTTTTTGGGGGGAAAAAGTAAGAGTTTTGGAAACAAAAGTAGCAAAATTTGCCATACGACACTCTTTGTCTATCATTTTCCTGCAATTTGATCGGTTACTTTAAACAAGCCTTGAGATCTGATTGGTTTTTTTTGTTTTTAGTGTGGCCTGCTGATTGGCTGGGAAAAAGATGTAATTTAAAGCAAAAAATGGTGCGATTCGTGAATAAATCGCACCAATTAGAGCTAATCAGATTACAGAGACCACCAGTGATTTCAAAATGGGTGTAATAAATAATATGTAATTTAGTGTTAACAACTGGGTTGAAAACGTAAATTAGCCACCGTAAAGGGTAAAAAAGCTGACGTTTCGAGCGTTAGCCCTTCGTCAGAGCGTCCTCTAATCGCTCTGACGAAGGGCTAACGCTCTTTACCCTTTACGGTGGCTAATTTACGTTTTCAACCCAGTTGTTAACACTAAATTACCTGCTATACTCTCCCACCGACGCAGCACCACAGTTTCTTTAGAAACTTACCCCTTTAATAAATAATATAACTGGTTCCTTCTGCTATGTACAAAAACTTGAAAACGCACGTGCATACGCAGAAGGTCAATCGTTCATTATTTCAGCTGCCATCTATGACTCCTCATGGATCATTGCTGTTTTTTTTTTTGCGAGTTGGGCAATCTAAACATCATTGAGACGTCTTACTCAATTTTTGGTGCCAAATCTGATAATGAATGTAAAAAATACCGATGCCGACACAATTAGTACTAATTAACAGAGTTCCGCGTTCGAAAGATGAAAAAATTAACATATCTCCTATTTCCAGAACTAATGCGAAGACGAAATCAACAATGGAAAAAAGCATATCCGTCTCGCTTAATTAACGGCCTCTGAGTTAATTAAGTTTCGAAAGGTGAGCTGATGAACAGATCTACTATTTCTTAATTGTAAATTGTCGCGCTTGAATGTTAGTGCGAAATTTAGTACACACCTTGTAATTACCGATGCAGACTCAGTTAGCACTAATCAACCGTTTTAAGGCTGAGTGTACGAAAAGTAAAGAAAACAATATATCTGCTAGTTCGGATAATGGCCAGTTTCTAAGCTACTGTACACCTGCCCCATCCAACATAAACACTAAGTTCACTGAGTTGTAAGGCCTGTTATTAGTTGACTGTTGTGATTTGTGAACTGTTGAGGAGAGGGGAAGGTGCGTAGTTGCTTAGATACTGACATTGATCGGCTATTTCAAAACTGTATGACTTCAAAGTTGTTTGGTGCGAAGGTTAACAGTCTAAAAAGACCGATATCGACACAATCAGAACTAATTCTGATGAGTTCTGAATGCATCGGTCTTATTAACCTTTTTAAAAGTCTTTTTTATCGTGTGATGTCATGGTTGATGTTTGGTGCAAAAGCTAATTAACAGTCTTAAAACACCGAGGCCGACACAATAAGTACTAATTAATATTTTTCAGGGATATGTGTTCGAATTGAAAGCATAACACATTTACTATTTCCAAATTATGTGACGTCATGGTTAATGTTTGGTGTGAAAGTTAATTAGCAGTCTTAAAACACCGTGGCCGACACAATCAGTACTAAATAATATTTTTCAGGGATAGGTGTTCGAATTGAAAGAATAACACACTTGCTATTTCCAAATCATGTGACGTCATGGTTGATGTTCGGTGTGAAAGTTAATTAACAGTTTGCAAAGACCGAGGCCGACTCAATTAGTACTAATTAGTATTTTTCAGGGATGGGTGTTCTAATTGAAAGAATCATGTATTTGCTATTTTTAAATCATGTGACGTCATGGTTGATGTTTAGTGTGAAAGCTAATTAACGGTCTGCAAAGACAGAGGCCGACGCAATTAGTACTGATAAATATTTTTCAGGGAGGGGTGTTCGAATTGAAAGAATTATAAATTTGCTATTTCCAAATCAAGTGACGTCATGGTTAATGTTTGGTGTGAAAGTTAATTAACAGTCTTAAGATACCGAGACCGACACAATTAGTACTAATTAATATTTTTCAGGGATGGGCTTTCGAATTGAAAAGAATTATACATTTCTGAATCGTATGACGTCAAGATTGATGTTTGGTGTGAAAGTTAATTAACAGTCTTAAGATACCGAGGCCGACACAATTAGTACTAATTAATATTTTTCAGGGAGGGGTGTTCGGATTGAAAATAATTATTCATTTGCTATTGCTAGAGCGTATGACGTCAAGGTTGATGCTCGGCGCGAAATTTGATTAACAGGCTGAATCAAAGCTGATACTTACACAATTATTACTAATTAGAGGTGAACATAACAACCTCTAAGAAGTTTGTTTTAACGTTTAATTGCATGTTTAGTGCGAAAGTTAATTAACGATTGAAGAAAACCGATTCCGACACAATTTGTAATAATTAAAAGGTCATAGTTGAGCGTTCAAATGGTGAACCAAATAAAAATAAGTTGTCACTGGAGCGTCACGTGCAGAAATAAATCAACAAATTGTAATTACCGTGCTGGTAACTAACGCTAATTGACAAAAGGAACATGAAGTGAAAACTTTGGCAGCCGTCTTTGAAATCGGTATTAAAACATGTATATTTATAATTATGGTTTGAAGGAAGGAGGGGGAAATTCTACCTTTTTTTACTGCTGGTACCAATAGTTGTAATTGACCGAGTATAACACGATTGTTTTTAACAAAAAAAAAATTAATGAGCTACGTTGACATCTGTTTGACGCCACGCTCGTTGCTATAGAGGAAAATTAATCATGAACAAAGAAGTAAGTAGTGCCTTTAACACAGCTAGTGCTAATTAATAGCTTAAAGTTTACTAATCAAAACACTTAGGTCGGCTACATCAGAATCGGTTTGGCGTCATTTACGTCGTTCGAGCCTAGGTTAATTTTCACAAAGGTAACTAATTAGGACAACAAATTAGTCCTAATTGGTTGATAGACAAGGTATTTCCATACTGTTCTCCAAATATTTCCTAAGGTGCTGACAAGGAGGATTTGTTTTACAATCAACCTTAGTTGGTGATTATTTGTTTAATTCTCATGACCTTAATATGTAATTCAGGGCTGATATTGTAGGGAGAAAGTAGATGTTAGTCAATCTTAGGGGTTTAAAGGTTATTACCTGTTTAAAAAATATCGAGAAGTTCGCAAACTTCTGCATGATTGAGTGCTTACACCGTTTGATGCCTTGATGAGGATGTGATTGACGAAAATTTGTTTACTTCCGACGGTATGCTTGACACTAATTAACAGATTATTTTGAATCGGAATTAACACAGGTAAGACGTCAAATTTGTTTCAATCCCCTTGTTGCGAAATCTAATTACCAGTTGCAATGATAACCGACCATGAGAGCCAATATTAAAGCTTTCGGCTTTCACCATTATGACGTTGTGTTTGTCACTTTCTATCAGGAAATGTCTGAGACTACCTTCACACAACGTTAGCTCTCTGTTCGCTCCAATGTAACAAGGTTAAAGTATGCAATTCAATAACATTTCTGGCACTGTTTTTTTTTGCTGAATTGTTCTCCTCGTCAGTTCAAATTCCAAATATTCATTTCTTCATCTGTTTCCTCCGAGACTTTCCAGGTCGGGTGTTCTTTCTCTTCTTTCCCTAAACAAAACAGAAACATTTACGCTCCTTGTAAAACGCAAATCTAAATGTTCATAATCTAAAATAATTGCAAGATCGGTGATCTCAGATTCCTGGGGTTCATGCTGGTTCTCGTGGAATATACACCGTAGATTTATTATGTTGCCTGTATGGCATACTAGTTCGCCGCAAGTTTCTCTCCGCCCACACAACCCCGAATCGCACCCAAAAGCTGCCACCTTAGTTGCTGATACTGGAACAAAATTACGAACGATTCAGTTTATTAATTTGGGTAACCTTTTTCTGGTAAACTAAACCCTTCCCTTTGACGATGGCAATTCCCTTTGCCACTCAGTTGTCAAAAGTTGCTTTACGTCTGTGTTGCTACACCGAATACAACAAGAGACACACTGCTTATAGCTTCTATCACCGTCATCCCTTACCGCATTTCCAGCCTTTGCTCTTGGCGCTTTACTGTGTATTGAAGAGTTGAACGAACTCACGTCTGAAAAACTTTGCTTGGAATTTCTCTTCATTCCTTTCTTTAATCCTCCAAAACCGTATTTAGAATCCTGGTTATTCAAGAAACAAGACAGCAGATTGATTAATCATAAATAATGTATAGATTTGGCCAAGCCTAAAAGGAGAGCTCGTATTTTTTTTCCCGCACGTCTTAAGGGCACAACGCCTTGCCCCGGCCAGGACTAGAACCCGGGTCGTCCGACTCGGAGCTCAATGCACTGACCACTAGACTACTGGACAAAGCCGTGGCGTTGGCGTGCCCGCGGTACAGTTGACCATGCAAAATAGCATCTTGTACGGTCGCACGTTCGTAAGTCCAAATTTTTTCGGCTTGATGGGTTACTACTATTTTGTATAATTATGGGGCTACGCTCTGCGAGCTCCGCTATTAACTGCCCTACTAATGTTTAAAGTTCCTTTCAACCGTCAAAGTTTCAACAATAATAATTTTCGTACCTTCCTTTTTCTCTTTGCATTCTTTCCGCTATTGGTAGAATTAAACATAAAAATTTTATACTGGAACCACACATATATTGAACATAACAACTGTATCGCTAAGGGAAGGTTAGGTGCCTGAAACATCCAGGAGCTTCCACTATTGGCAGCCAGCTTCTGGATGGAGACTTCTGCCATGGCTGGCAAATCCTGGCAACCCAGTCATGGGCCCCCACACAGGAAAGGGAAACAGGCACCCGTTGCAATGAATAAACAGTGGAAAGAGGGAGGAAAGGGTGGGGAAAACTGCCTGGACGAAGAGCTGCCACTCCTCACAACGCTGCAAGTTACGCTCAAAGCACAAGCAAGAACGCCTCAACGAAGAGAACGTGGAATTCCCACGCAAGCGCATATGCAAAAGACCGCTGTCTACTAGAGAACGCTGATGCTCTTTGTTATTAACTCCATTAAATTGCATTTAACTGCACCAAACAAATTTAAAAAATAAGTATTAAAAAAAATAATAATAAAATGAAAGAGGAATGTAACCAGCTCTTCACCCATTGTTTTTTCAGTACTCCTAGAGTCCAGTCCAAGTTAAAAAAGGACAAAGACAGATGCTCTCCCCACTGCCAGAATTATTGTATCTTTCCCAACAAAGATGGCGCAATGTTCTCCTCCACCATCACTGCTCTGCTAGATTTACAGCTAATGCATTGTAACTTGCCATATTTTTAACTGTGAACCATAAAAATAATTAAAAACAAAGAAATTACCGTTTAATGACTTTTCCTTTGTTTATGGTTGAAGATTCTCTCTCTGTTTGTATCTGAAATTCATCAGGGCCTCCTGCTGTTGACTTTGCATCAACTGGGGAGTTCTTGCCACCTAAGAAGTTAAAAACATTTATTTTCTTTCATTTATTAGTCAGAGAGTGGTGGAGAGTCCACTTCAAATAGAATCCAAAAAATACCCAAAATGCATTAAATCTGAAGTCCCAATTAGTAAAGCCTCTCTGTGACTCCATGCAGATAAGGCCTCAGCTAGACAATGCCACTGATTTCTGTTGGTTGTCAGACAGACAAGCCATCCTTATGGCCAGCCCACATTCGTTGTTTCCCTTTCTACAGTTTCTCCCCAAGTTTCATTGAGGGGGGCAGCTGTGGGGAGTCTGTTGGAAGGTGGCAATCTGAACACATTCAGACTCCCAATTAAGTCACAGTAATAATCATGTGATTATGATAATGATGATGATGATAGCTTTAACTCACGTTTTTTGTAGTTTTTCACAGCTTCCATCATCTCTCTCTTTTCCTTCTGCCTCTTTTGTAAAACCTCTTGTTGGACCTATTAAGAAAAAAAGGTTGAAAGGTCGAAAGGTCTGGGCCTAAGGCCTAGCCAGGCCATGGTGTTATTTCTTGGGCAGAAGGTAAACTTTCACAATCCTCCTCTCCACTGTTTTTTGAAAGGTGGATAACACTATCCAATGGATAAATCTTGATATGGTAGATACTGCTAAGTATGTTTTGTCAACACTTACCCACCAGATAGCAATTTATCCATTGGATAGTGTTATCTGCCATTCGGACAAATGGATCCAGCGCCAGTTGTTTGATGGACAATTAGAGCTGACCCAGGGTAAAATTTTAATTGCAGTTACTTTATTCCTATGTTCAAAAGCTCTTTTTCAGATAATTCTAGGTATTCCTTTTAAGAGCATCAAATCATTACATTGTAGAAAAAAGGAATTAAACTGAAATTTCTTTTGACACTTTCTGATCTGAAGTCAGATTTCCCACAACCCCTGGATTAACCCAGGAGTATTAAAGGGTATCAGCCAGTTAGTAGAGAAATCTGATGAAATGCTGGGGGGGGGAGCAGGAGATATATGTGAGCAGTGTAACAAATTTTTTTGTCAAGTAAGATGGAGATGAGTAACAGGAGTAATAATACTCCTTGTTGCTCCACTCTTTACACCCTACTTGAGACCAGTATTTAATTTCTCCTCACAGAAATACTGCTAGACATTGACCCTTTACACCCTAACATCAGTATGTATACTCTTCAAACTGTTCACTAAACATTTCTTAAGATGCTGACATGGAGAATTTGTCTAACAATCAAGAGCTTCCTAAGTCAGTGATCAGATCCTTCATTCTCTTGACCTTAATGTTTGATTCAGGGGTGCTATGGTTAGGAGAAATTAGATACTAGTCACCCTTAGGGGTTAAAGGGTTTATCAAGATCATGAGAAGAAAGGAAATGATCACCAGCCTAGGAAGCTTTGATCATTATACCAATTCTCCTTGTTAGGATCAAACAAAATGTACTGAGAAGAGAATTGAGAATATGGATACTGATGCTCAGGTGTAAAGGGTGAAAGCAATGGAAATGGGGATCAGCTCCAGATGAACATGCTACTTCCCTCAAGTGCTATTGCAAGATTTTTGGTTCATCATGCAGAGTCCATACCTTTTTGCCATATTTCTTCATCTCTCGCTGTTTCTTTGCCTTTTCAGACCTCTCCATGGCTTTCTGCTTGCTCAGTAATTTTGCTCTTACCTAAAAACAAAAGAGCAACAAAGAAAGAGGAAAGCTTAAACCTAAATAACTTCCAAGATCTGTTGTTAATTCTTCCCTATGGCTACTTCAAATTTCCTTGTAAATAAGTTGTGAGAATTTGAGGTTACATCAAGATAACATTGTCTACCTGATAAGTTGAGCATTCTCATTACCTGTTTGCTGAATAATGTATCGATATTACAGGGAGAAGTTATTTTATTAGCTTCGCCAACTTAATATTAAATAAAACAAAAAATGTAAAATGGTAAAACAAAAAATGTAAATGGTACAACACAGGCAGGGACTCTGCAACAGCTTACGCCAATTACTGCGGGCTAGAGTGTTCCACAGTTACATATTAATCACCTCTGGAAGTAAAAGGTTAACTCAGATGGCATCTTAAACAATTTGTGCTTGTTTCCTTGCAAAGGAATATTTTCAAAATTGGCAGGGTGACATGTCAACCATTTTCCTTTTAGTCAATCATTTTTTAATACTATACATCTGGGAATAATCTTTCAATTTACCCTCTGCATGTGATCATCAGTTTTCACCATTTCTGCAAAGTAATCCTCAGGTCGTTTGGTTCCCACTCCAAGTTTGTTCAGTTTAGGAAGTGCTTCATTCACTGCCACCTGTGCTTGCTTGTAGCTTAAAATAGAATAACCATTGTTAGCTTCATATGAAACTGGTTTACTTGGAGCAGGGTAATTTAGCATTGTCATCTGAGTTGATGATGTAAATTGGGCACTGTAAAGAGTTACAAAGCTGGGGTTTAATGCTTAATTAGTAATTAAACTTTGTTTTAATGCTTAAAAGCATTAGCCCTTCATTGGAGAGAGTGTTTTGCAATAATGAAGGGCTACTGCTCTAAACATCAGCTTTGTAACTATTTACAGTGCCTGAATTATAATAGTAATTGAACTGAATGGAGTGCAATTTGGGCTGACATCATATGTGTGATTTCAAAATCAAACGAGCACAAAGTGCGAGTTTGATTTGAAATAGCAAGTATGATTTCAGACCAAAATTGCATGGCACAAGGTTCAATAACCACTTTATTACATCCATTTTGAAATCACCCAAATACAGGACTTGGTCAGTTCAAATATTTTATTGATGCAGTACTGAGCTACTTTAAAATTAAATTCATCCATTTTTTGGGGGGAAAAAACAAGAGTTTTGGAAACGAAGGTTGAAAATTTGCCACATGATACTCTTTGTCTTTCATTTTCCTGCAATTAGATTGATTACTTTAGACAAGCCTTGAATTCTGATTTGTTGCTTTGTTTTCAATTTAGCCTCCTCATTGGCTGGGAAAATGATGCGATTTAAAGCAAAAAATGGTGCAATTTGTGAATAAATTGCACCAATTAGAGCCAATCAGATTACAGGGACCACCAGTGATTTCAAAATGGGTGTAATAAATGTTATAAACTCAGTTGATAATGATAAATTACCCTCTCATACTCTTCCACTGACACAGCACCTCAGTTTCCTTAGAAATTTACTCCCTTTATTCATAAGAAACTAGTTTATTTGTAGCCCTTCCTAATGCTAAAACTAACTTACAATCTCATTTCTCGTTGGAAGTCATCATGGATACTTTTTTCACTGGAAACTGTGGATGTTGTAGGCGTCTTTAAACTTTCCTGCTTGTCATCTTCCTCTCTGGTGACTGTGACATCCATTCTTTCAACCCATTCAAGCTCTTGAGCGATCTGCTCCAGTTTTTGCTTCATGCCAGGCTGTGCAAGTGTAAACAAGTTTGTGTTAACCATTTGACTCCCAGAAGCAATTGAGAGGTAACTTCTCCCTATAATATCCATACACCATCCAGCAAACACGTTATGAGAATACTTAAACTTATCACGAAGAAGTTATTATTCTTGATCTAACACCAAATTAACAATCAGATCTTGTGAGTTAAAGGGTTAAATGGTCGGTCGTTGTATTCACGCTTATGTGGCTAGTTTGCCACCAAGCGGACAGATCTTTAGCTGGAAAACCTTTCAAGAGCTTAAATTTCGTTTAAAAAAACTTGTACGAACAAAATGAACACGAAATTTAAACTTACGACATTGTTGTACAGAGCACGTGTCTTGGTTTGGGACTGAATTCTGTTCAAACCCACTTGAAGTTTTCCGCTTGCAAAATCTCTTTGAAGCTAAAACAGTCAAAAAGAAAACCTAAATGAGTCATTTGAGCCTATCCTTTGGCATGAAGCTATTCAAAATACAAAATCTCACCTCGTCATCTGATATTTCAGAGCCACTTTCCATCAAGTCTTCGTCGTTGATGTCGGCCATTTTGTTTTTCGTTATTAGCGAGGGATTGGTTCGAGTTAATCCGCTGACCATATTGACTTAATTGATCAGTTTATTTATTTTAATCCTGTAATCCAAACATAATCTTTTAGCGTTACTTCGTTATTAGCAGCATTTTTGAACTGCAATCTTCTGGTCATTAGGCGTCGTTATGGATCAGTTTTACGAAATCTTCGACTCATATGCTGAGCAGCTGGCTAAGCTTCCAATGTTGCCAGTTTTACAGTGTGTCCACTACATTATTATGAACTTGAAATTACGCATGGGAGAAGGTAATATTATTGATGAATTCGCAGTATTCTTGATAACTGCTACGATCAATGTTTTAGAATTGCTATCGAATAGAGATGAAAACTTCCAACTAGATTAAATTGAGATATTGGCGCAGGAGAAATCTTTTCTCTTTTTTTCTTATTTTCCATTCCCAGTGGAAAGAAAATTTTCTCAAACTCCAGACGCCACGCCCTTTGCTTAAAAGGGCTTCGCGGCTGCCTTCCCAGTGACTTTTCTGGAACTTTTGGAAAACAGAGATAAAATATCGCAAGCTACTCAAACATCAGTGATTAAAGGCTTAAAGGGAAAAGAATTGGGGACCAGTTTGGAAATTGGCAACTTGGCTGGAAAACTTTCTATTCACTATTAAACCTAGAACAACAATTTCTTAGGCAGGATAATTAAATCAAGTATTTTATTTTTCCAGGTGCACTACCCTTTGCCTATTCTCATCCAATGTCTTCCTGGGTTTCCAGTTTATTGACATGTTTTGCTGGGACCTTTTTGACAAACTTCTTGTTGGGCAACTCTTTGCTGTCACCACTGACAGATTTGGAACAAATTGCCATCCTGTCTGTCATTTGGTATGAATGTTATTAAAAGTCATTTTCTTATAAAAATTGCAGTTTTGTTCTCCTGACTTTTGATACAAATGATTTGTTTTGAAATTAAAAATTTTTCTTGATTTGATAAAGGTATCTTGTATTCTTTTGCCCTCTGGATTTGTTCACCAAGGTCTTTATGCTGAAGCCATTGTGGGTAAGTTAATTTGACAAACAGTTTCTAAATTATTAGAAAATATTATGTTCTCACAAGACTGATCTTTAACTCCCAAGATCTGATTGTTAATTCTCCCCTTCAGCTGTTACACATTTCCTTGTTAATTAGTTATATGAATTTGGTGTTAGATTAAGATAAAAACTTCTACCTGATAAATATGAGTATTCTCATTACCTGTTTGCTGGTTAATATGTAGATATTATATGGAGAAATTACATGTTAATCACTCCTGGGAGTTAAAGGCTGAATTATATTGTTACTTGAAGAGAAAGAAAAAAAAAGAACGAACAGATCCAAATGGTGACGAAAAAATTATTTGACCCACAAAAGCAAATGCAAAACAATAACCTAATGAAAAGCATATTTAAAGTGTTGCATATTATTCTTCTGTGCCTCTGCATATTCACATGCACGTCTGTGTTTTAACTCTTAGGGTTAGGGTTAGAATTTGCAATTCTCCTTACTGTCAACCATACAGTTCTCATGATGTTAGTTCAGAGAATTTATTATTTGATCAACTAATTATCCCCAAATTGATATTTTTCTTTATTCTCATCACTTATCTGGTTGATATTGTATTGATATTGTAAGGAGAAATTCAGTCTTGGTCACTCAAGGGAGTTAAAGGGTTAAGCACTCTTCATTGGTCCTTTTGTCCATTATGTAGCTGTCATTTATTCAATAGTTTATTTGTTTATCAATTGTGGAAGATGAAGCAGCCCATTGATTAGTACTAAGGAATCTGGATTGTAGGCCTAAATTTGAACCCTGTCTAAATCTTTGACTGTTTTGTTCTTGTGTAAGACAGTGGACTCAGTGGACCACAGTGCCTCTCATCACCCTAATCTCATGTATCTTTGCTCTGACAAAGGGCTAGAGCTCAAAATCTCAGCTTTGAAACTGTTTCCGTTGGCCAATTTATGTTATCAACACATTGATAATACTAAATTTCCAGGTTATACTCTCCCACCTACGCGGAACCACAGTTTCTTTAGAAACTTAACCTCCTTTAATCTGATGTGTGTTTTGTAGATTGCTCTTCTGGTTGTCAAAGAGGCCCACAGAGCAAAGAACATTCTCAAGGGAGTAGAGATATCATCAACACTTTACCATGACCAATTGGCCAATTTATGTTATCAACACATTGATAATACTAAATTTCCCTGTTATACTCTCCCACCTACGCGGAACCACAGTTTCTTTAGAAACTTAACCTCCTTTAATCTGATGTGTGTTTTGTAGATTGCTCTTCTGGTTGTCAAAGAGGCCCACAGAGCAAAGAACATTCTCAAGGGAGTAGAGATATCATCAACACTTTACCATGATGCTTGGCTGGTCATGATAGCAGTAGGAACTGCAAAAGGTTTGTTATCTAGTTTTGATTGTCAGATTGTTAACTCATCTTTACTCACACTCAGTAATTAATAATTTAGCATATTTTGATTTTCAAATGTTGCACATTGACTGAACTAGCAGTCTTTCAGCTTCTGATTATTTGACTGGAATAGTGTTAATTGCACACAATTTTCTTGCAACAGTAGCTTTCATATTTCTGAATTTTTCCCTTAGTACACTTAACCCTTTTACTCCCGATATCCTTAGTTAACATAAATTCTCTTTACTGTTTAATTTTGTTCTGAGAATTTGGTCTTGGATCAAATGATAATCCTCTAGTTGAAATCTTTTTCTTAATATTCTTATTACTTGGCTGCTTGATATTGTCTTGATGCTGTAAGGAGAAATTATGTCTTGGTCACTCCTAAGAGTGAAAGAGTCAGTAGATCCTTGGATGCTCTGACAAAAAGGACAATCAGGTCTTCAAAATGTCACTCAGGATTGCATACAACAGAACCTTTCAAAATCACTCTCACCCATATGATTACAATACACAATCAATCAATGAACACAATTTTTTTTCAAATATCTTTCTATTTATTAATTCAGGAGCTGGCAGTAGACTTTTAAGACCTGTGGTTATGTTTGCTCAAGGAAAAGTGGATGCTGTTAACGAAGCGCTGTACCCATCATTGTGAGTAAACATTATTTGAATAACCATTAATTGTTTTGTCTCTGATCCTGGACATTATATATGTACTGTGCCCCAGATATAACAGGGAAACTGAAGGTGGGCGCACTTTTCTCGTCACCGGAACCAAAATTTGGAACGAGATACCACTACGCATACGGATGGCGGACAGCATAAGGTGCTTTAAGCACAACATGTGGACTAATATTTTTTCGCAGCAACAATTTTTAAGTCATTTTCGTGTATAGTTTCCTTTTTAGTTTCTTTACTTATCTTGCAATTATATTATATTATATTAGTTTCTATTTTTATATTGTATTATACTAGTTTTTATATTGTGATTATTTCTGAGTGAGGGCCACAAGTTTATTAGCTATGCTATTATGTGTTACCCTCGTAAAATAAAGTCTTTATTATTATTATTATTATGACAGAGGTGAGGGGGATAGATGTAAAGGAAACGAGTGGGGGAAAGGAGTGATTAACCATTTAACTCCCAGATCTATTAAGTAATTCACCTCACTGTCAATCATACAATTCTTATGATGTTAGTTTGGAGAATTTGGTATTGGATCAATTGATAATTCTGCATTAGATATTCTTCTTTCCTCTCATGACTTGAATTCGTGATATTTGTATTAACATTGTGAGGAGAAATTCTGTGTCAGTTCCTCATGGAAATTAAAGCATTGAAGGGGCTATGTTCCCTACCCCCCACTTTTTTTTTTCTTTGTATTGTCTCAAAGTTTTTGCAACCAACCTCCTTTTGAATGGTAATGTACAGTCTGGGTGGTATTCAATTTTATTTTCAGATTTTTCATTTTATTGAACATTTAAAAAAGTAGTCGGTGTGGGGAATGAGAAGGGGGGTGAGGGGGGGGGGGTTGGGGATAGGTTTGTGGACTTGCCTCACTTTGCCCCAGTCTCTTCTCCTTCACCCTTTTGTGATTTTCTGTATCTTTCCCCAAATACCATCCTTGTCCTCTTGTCCTCACCCAGCAATGAAAATGGGATCTGGCAATTTAATTTGCAAGTGCTTGTAACTGAATGCCCTGATTATCAAGTTTTGATTTCTTTCAGTGTCACCAAACTATCCATTGTTGGAAGTATTCTCTTTATTGTGGTGCAGAAGCGCATAGTAGCCTTCACAACAGCTGAAGTTCTTCTGGGCATAACTTGTGTGGGAGCATTTCTTCAGGTCCTCATGTATCTCAGTAACACAAGTGACCCTTTTACCTATTTAGAGAAAGCTGTGGCTGCTGTTCTTTTTAAAGAACCAGCTGAAAAGGCAGATACTTCAGATGCTAAGAAGAAAAAGGAATAACCACTCTTAATTTAAATGAAGAAAGAGGATACACCTTACTTTTGATAATTGTGTCCTTGCCTAGTGTGCAACAGGTTGGAATATGGCAATCTGTCATGGAATGTCAGTCACAAAGACTTGCTGATTGCTATTAACCAATCAGAAGATCGTGTTATTTGTCACAAATATGTGGTGAGGTTTTGTGTAAGCTTATCCGAAAAATTCCTCTCCTTCCTTTGAAAAAGGAACAGAGAAACCTTGGAATGAGGTTGAGGTGTGTTGTCTTTGAGTGGTTTGGTGAATGTTGAAATAAATCCTGAAATGGCTTCGTGTTACTTTGATGTGCTCTCTGATTGGTCACCAGTCCAGCAAACAAGATGTACATATGCAAAACAATTCCTGAAACGTCTTTTTAATTTCATCAGCGACGAGATCATAATTTATTAGTAGTAAAGTTTTTTTCTGAACATTTACACATGAACCCTAACGTTATTGAAGAACACTAAATATAGTCTTATTTTTGAGACCCTCAAGACAATGTATTTACTTAAATGTACTGATGTCTTACTAATGAACAGCTGTTTCGAGAAAGGTTGAAGGAAAAAAGCGAAAAAGTGCACGAAATATACCCGAAGGGTATTGATGGTAGTTCCTTCACCTCAGGATTTCAGGGAAATCTGAGAGAACGTCATCGTAAGGATGAGGCACAGCGGATTTGATGAGTTTATTCATTCATTTTACTTATTAAAATTCGTCGATTACCGGATCGCCATATTTCTATTCGAGATTATCGCGTGCACTTTTGTCCATTTTGCCGAAAACCTTCCTCGAAACAGCTCAAAATATACTTATTTTTGATAGCCATTTTTTCACTTTTTTACTACAAGTGTGTGTATATTTGTGTAATCGTCTCAATACTCCTAGCTAGTCGTTTTGAAACTTAAAGTTTAGTTACTTCATACCCTACTAGTCTGCTGTTTTGAGAGCGCTTTCCTTCACGTGAAGAATCCCAACAGATTTAAACAGTTCTTCCTTTCACAAATATTTAGCTTTTAAAAAAATGCATAAAAAAATGAGAGAAAAACAAAATAGCAACTGAAATTGGGTGATAAAATTTAGGTAATTTAGTCTTTTATTCCAATGCGATCACCTTCTGTACTTTGGTTCTTTGTCTCTTCTTTTCCTTGTGTGAATGTGTGAGTTTGCCTGGTTTTACCAAAAAGCCATTTCTCTAATTTCATTGATCAGTTGGTGTAGTTGTTGATAGATATATAATATGCCGACATAGAATAAACCAATATGCAATCAAGTTAATAACAATTGCAACCAGTTCAAATGTAATCGAAAAAAAAAAGGAGCGAAAAGAACTACCCCTATGCAGAGTACACTCAAACCACCCGTACCATTAATTGCGATAAACTATGAAAGAAAACAACACTAGCCATAAGTCTCCTAAAGCTCTGTAGCAGTAAAGCGTCCTAAGAACCAAGCGGAAGATGGTAGAATTGACTCTGAAGAAGCAAAACGCTTTCTTTTTCTGCTTCTTAAAGTTCCATATGAACGCGCGTCATCTAAGAACAAAAGTACATTGCAACCTTACGCAGTCTGTTAAAAAAAAAAAAACAAAAAACAAAGTCACTTCCCTTACTGATAGTTCAGTTCAGTCTAAAGGTGTAGCATCCACAGCCTGGGTCGTCTGCACTTGTGCTGGTTGAGGTGTCCTGTGGTCAAGACCATTGAGGAACATGCGCAGGTACTGTCCAAGGCCACCAGCTGGAACTATGTTGCTTAAGTCAAAACGATCCTCATTGGATGGATCCAGCATTCGGTTGGCTATGGCTTCTTCGTTCCCTGACGCTAAGTCTTCCTGCCTCAAACAGTACTTCCACGTTTCGACATCACCGCGGATTGCATCAAGCATTCGGCGCCTCATTTCCAGCTCGGTACTGAGGCAGATCCTGAAATAAGCATTGGACCAGCCGCTTCTCAACATTTGAAGGAAATGCTCAGTCTGAAGATTATGGCTTTGTATCATTTCTTTGAAATCTTTTACCAGGGATCTTTCAAGAGGATCATGAATTTCATCTCCGTTTACAGCTTCTTCCACCAACTCTTTGCCGACTTGGAGGTACATATCTTGCATGTCATGGTATCTATAATTTGGAAGTAGGTTGCTACATTGTTTAGGGCTGTGCAACACAGTATCTGTCGTAATTTCTTTGTTTCCTTGGTTGTTATCGACGCTTCCTGGTTCAGCTGCTCTTCCAGGTACCGCTCGCCCGCTGTCTTGTTGTGGTTCATTCTTTTTAAGTTGCTTCGTATCATCTTCATTTTTCTGGATCAGTGCTTTGCAAAACTCAACCGGACTTTCCATGATATTCTTCACCACCTCGGCCAGAGATGCCAGATTTTCGGGATTCTCAAAGTAATCAACACCAAAAAGATTGTATGATCTCGCGAAGAAATGTCGCAAGTCTTTGTCTTTTAAAGCTTTTAGCAGGTTTTCGAGGAGCTTCATCATACACTCGGTTCTTTTGTCCTCGGTCCACATGTCGGCACCAGTCTCCTCTATTGTTTGCAAAAAGAGGTTCTTGAGATGGAAGGACACCAAACCTGCTGGACTGGAAAGATAAGCACGGTGCAATTTCTTCAGACAACGGTAACACTCGCGTTGGATGTCGTTGATCTCTTGGCTTAGCAGGTACTCTGCATGAGAAAATGAGATTCTGAAGTCGCACTCGGGAATTTCACTGTACCTTGGAGATTTGACAACTAGGTGGTAGCCTTCGTCAGTGATCTTAGTCACCAATTCGACGGAAGGCCATTTCCGCTCTCTTTCGAGCCAGTCTCGTGAAGCCTTCGGCCATCCTCGGGATCTTAAAGCAGGCACGAGATCAATTCCCCTCTTACGCGTGATAGAGTCTCTCTCTTCGATACGATGTTCCTTGTTTCCACTTTCTTCCCCAATCAAATGGTTGAGCCATCGTTTGAGATCAAATTTCTCTCTTTCTCCAGATTCCACCACATGTTTGGCTCTGTCACTTACTGTTGCATCTTTTGAGGTCGGTCCTTCTTTTTCACCGCAGTTCTTCAACTGTGGTTTGGATTCCTTTTGAACCGCTCCGCCATCTTGTTTTGAGGTCTTTTCGATCGTTTCTCGCGCACCTTCCCTGTCGTTTTGTTGTTCAGTCACTGACTCGTATGGGATTCGTGTATTGTCAATCTCATCAGAAGAGGTGGACTCCAAGTCTTGATTGCCAGGCGTCTGAGCGTCGCTACGATTTTGTGCCGTGACACTGGGGCCAAAATGGGCAGGTTCTGAATTTCTTTCAACTTCGTTAGTGTGACACTTTTGTTGCGTGACACCGGTCTCCTCGTGACAGATCGCTTCCGCCCGACTTCCACATTCGTTTTGTTTTCGACTTTCAATAGCTTGGACTCGGGTTATGAAGCTTTTCACCTCATCGCTTGATATAAATTCTTGAAAGAGGGTGGGTAGTCCACGGATAAATCCATCTGGGCCACTTTCAATCAGCGAAGCCTGTGATTCACCCAAACAGCGAAGTAAATCTTCAATAACAGAAGCGTGTTCTCGTGTGTAATCAATTCCATTTGCATTGAACATCGAGCTAGCCAGCCCTTCCCAATCGGCCAATTCGCAGCTACAACCCCTCTTTGACTCAGTCACGTTTTGCAGTTGTTGGAGGGTCGTTCCAAACCACTGCTTGGAATCAATCGTAAACGCCGGGCCTACTTCGTTGTTCTTCCAATCGTAGACAAACGGAAGAGAGGGCGAACAATGATCGGTGGAGACTATGCTTAAGCTATATTTCAAATAATCGAGCCATTCGGGCGATTTGTTCCCATAAATCGCAGAATCGAAGTTCTTCAGCGCTGAAGTGGCCAGGTATTCTGTACCTTCTACAAGGCACGACTGAAACACGGAATGATCGCTTGCTCTGATCCTTACATAGAGGGGGTTTTCTGGTAAATATTCGAGCATGTCTTCGTGAATGATGAAGCTATCTGTGGTTGGGAATACCATAATGTCCATATCTCCATAATTTTCTGGCGATAAGCACTTCAAATCTTCCGCTGCACTGCCATAGGGTCGGACTGCAAGTTTTTTTTCGGTAAATTTAGTCGAGGCCTCCGTGAGCTTCGCCAAAATAAAGCTGAGACATTTTTCGTCGTACTCTTTAACCAACTCTGCTTCTCTTCCTCGCTCCCCAAGACACTTAAACACGAGGTTCAGTTCCTCTTCATTAGCACAGGGTCTCGACACAGCCATTATTACTCGAAACAAAAGCGAAACAAAGGCACGTAAAATAATTCAATCAGGTCCAAAGTATTTTCAGTTTCGAAGGTGAGTAATTCTCTCACCCAGGCCAACCTCTTTCGGCCAAAATAAGGAGGGAAAGCGGGTGAGGGAGGGGGAGGGGGGGAGGGGGCAGGACGTCGAAAAGTTCGGTTTTGCGAATTTAGCCATATTTGAAGTCGGTTTTCACGCTATCAATGCCAAACTGTTTGGACTTTTCGGCTTTCCCCTTTTAATAGCATTCAGTGTCCAATTTGCAGCCAGTATTTAGAGGCCAGCTGGAAATATTAGAATGAACTCTGGAATGGACTCGGGACTGGTGTCTAGAAATACTATCGAGAGCATTATATAGGTTGTTTCTTTAGTCAAATTAAGGAAAATTTATGCAACCAAAGTCAATCAAAACAGGAAAAATACATAACAGCCACTGAGGCACATACGACGAGTTCCAATAGCAAAAACGCATACATGCTTGAAATCTGTAACAAACGCGAAAACCATGCAAACGGAATCGAGCGCCGCCTTAAAGTACTTGGCAACAGTTGTCAAGTACACATTTTTAAAAAAAAATCATAAAACAGTTTATGGTCAGTTAAAAAGCGAAAAAACGTTTTATCATAAAGAAAAACGCATACTTGTTTTTGTCTCGTTAGTGGGTACATCGCATTATGTAGGAAATTCCAGCGCGTTTTTCTTTAGGCAGTCAATTAAAAGGGAGTAACTCTAAAAGCGAAGTAGGTTATATTCCTCGGTTAATAGTTCAGTTCAGTCTAAAGGTATAGCATCCACAGCCTGGGTCGTCTGCACATGCGCTGGTTGAGGTGGCACGTGGTCAAGACCATTGAGGAACATGCGCATGACCTTAACTAATCCACCAGCTGGAAGGATGTTGCTTAGGTCAAAACGATCCTCATTGGATGGATCCAGCATTCGGTTGGCTATGGCTTCTTCGTTCCCTGACGCCAGGTCTTCCTGCCTCAAAAGGTACTTCCACATCTCGACATCACCGCGGATTGCATCAAGCATTCGGCGCCTCATTTCCAGCTCGGTACTGAGGCAGATCCTGAAATAAGCATTGGACCAGCCTTTTCTCAATATTTGAAGGAAATTTTCAGTCTGAAAATCATGGCTTTGCATCATTTCTTTGAGATCTTTTACCAGGGATCTTTCAAGAGGATCATGGATTTCATCTCCGTTTAAAGCTTTTTCCACTAACTCTTTGCCGACTTGGAGGTACATATCTTGCAAGTCATGGTATCGATGATTTGGAAGTCGTTTTTCATTGTCGCCGCTTGGTTCAGCTGTTCTTCCGTGTCCCGATGTTGAAGGCACCCCTTGCTTGTTCTGTTTTTCGAATGTCTCCTTTTGAATTTTCTTCTTGTCTTCACTCTGCTGGATCAACGCTTGGGAAAAGTCCAACGGATTTTCCATAATCTTCTCCATCTCTTCGGCCAAAGATGTCAGATTTTCGGGTTTGACAATGTAATCAACACCAAAGAGATTGTAGGATCTCACGAAGAAATGTCGCAAGTCTTTGTCTTTCAAAGCTTTTAGCAGGTTTTCGAGGAGCTTCATCATGCACTCGGCTCTTTTGTCCGCGGTCCACATCTCGGCACCAGTCTCCTCTATTGTTTGCAAAAAGAGGTTCTTGAGGTGGAACGACACCAAACCTGCTGGACTGGAAAGATAGGCACGGTGCAATTTCTTCAAACAATGGTAACACTCGCGTTGGATTTCGTTCATCTCTTGGCTTAACAGGTACTCTGCATGAGAAAATGAGATTCTGAAGTCGCACTCGGGAATTTCACTGTACTTTGGAGATTTGACAACCAGGTGGTAGCCTTCGTCAATGATCTTAGTCACCATTTTGATGGAAGGCCATTTCCGCTCTCTTTCGATCCAGTCTCGTGCAGACTTCGGCCATCCTCGGGATTTCAGGGCGGGCACAAGATCAATTCCTGTCTTTCGTTTAAAATGGGCTGTGTCATTTTCAGAGGGCTCTTTGACTTCAGTTTCTCTCTCGAGGAAATGGCAGATAATTTGCCTCTGTAATCTTCCTATGCTTTCCCTTGAATGATCGTTTCTATCACTTTCAAGTGTGGTCTCCTTTGGTGATCGGCTTTCAATAGCTTTCACTCGGGCTTTAAATTCTTCAAATTTATCGCCCGACGTCACTTCTTGGTGGTAAGCTGGAAAGCCTTCTAAAATATCACGTTTGGTCAGCGACTCCTGTAACTCACTCGTATACTGTATATACTCATCTAGAACTGCGGCATGCTCTCTCGTATATTCAACTCCCCTGGCCCTGCATATCGCACCGAGGAACCCTTCCAACTCAGCGCTGTTCAAACTATGCAGCCGCTTTGTCTCCGTCATGTTTTCCAATTGTCGGTGGAGGGTATCAACCGATTCCATGCAATGAATGGCAAAAGCTGGGCTGGTTTTCTCGTTCTTCCAACTCGCAACAATTGGAAGAAATTGTTCGGGGTCATCCTTAGATAATATTGGCAGGCTACGTGTAAAATAATCAAACAATTTAGACACTTTGCTTCCATAAATTGCGGGATGGAAGTTCTTCAACGCTGAAGTGGCCAGGTATTCTGTATCTGCTACAAGGCACGACTGCAACACGGGATGATCGCCTGCTCTGATTCTCACACGCAATGGACTTTCCAGTGGATGATCGACCATTTCTTCGTGAATCAAAGGGCCTCTGAGCTTGGGAACACCATGACGTCCGTATCCCCATAATCATCGGGTGAAAGACACTTTAAATCTTCAGCTGCACTCCCATAGGGTCGGACTATGACTTGATTCTCAGTAAGTTCCATGGAGTATTCCGTCAGCTGCTCTAAGAATGGCCCAATTACGTGATCAATCTTCTTTTTCACTAACTCAGCTTCTTTTCCTCGCTCCCCAAGGCGCTTAAAAACAAAGTTTAAATCTCCTTCATCGACATGCTGTCTTGCCGCAGCCATATTCATTTGAAAATGAAACAAATCCAAACAGAAGTTTTAGGTTACCGGAATAGAACGTTATCTGATTGTTTTCGGTTTCGACGCAAATAACGTCCCTGACCGATCAGTTTTCTTAAAAGAGGCCGGAAGTAGGATTTCTTTAATTTACATAACCCTAGGTGCTTTCATTTGTGGTTTACCAATATCGACAATACAAATATTGGTGGCCGTCTAATTCACTTGCACCTATAGGGCATCAAATTTAGGGGCGTCAAAGTAAGTCTGGGAAGTGTTTGTGTCATTTGGATTGAGTGTTTTAAAACTACAACCAGGGTTATCACAACGGTCGATCAGGAACAAAAAACTTCACCATTACCCGAAGGGCCGGTCATTATTTTTGACTGGGAGAGGATGGGGGATTTTTGGGATCACATGCTTTTCAGGAAGAACGAAACGGAAAAAGTCTTTATCAACTTACTATAATTAAAATTATATCAAATAAATTAAATCAGTATAGAGGAGGGAATATAAAAATTGACTGCCACTGTGAGGGGGATCATAAGAATATGACAGAGCCTTATGCGAGGATCAGATAAGATTGCGTGACGAGAGGATGTTGTGGTTAGCTGTAGAGAGCAAAATACATCAAACGTCAGTAGTAGTTATGATCGTGTCGCCGATTTCCATGGCTGGTTTACAGGTTTGAAGCGAAATGTTGTCAGCTTTTGTCGAGTACAGCTGTTTTAAATAATACATTTTCGATAAAATGAAATAGCCCTCGTTTCAGTCCAAAATGCAATCCATCAGCTGTTTTATTTTTTTCGATAAAATGCCAATGTTTACAACATCGGACTACTGATTTACATACATTTTGATAGACACAGTTTGTCGGGGAAAAGTTTTCAAATAGGGGAGAAAAAGTCGGAGGTAACGCTAAGTTCTTACACCCATGACTGAAAAAAGTCATATTCATTTGAAAATGAAATAAATCCAAACAGAAGTTTTAGGTTACCGAAAAAGAACGCTATCTGATTGTTTTCGGTTTCGACGCAAATAACGGCCCTGACCGATCAGTTTTCCTAAACGAGGCCGGAAGTAGGATTTCTTTAATTTACATTACCCTAGGTGCTTTCATTTGTGGTTTACCAATATCGACAATACAAACATTGGTGGCCGTCTAATTCAGTTGCACCTATAGGGCATCAAATTTAGGGGCGTCAAAGTAAGTCTGAGAAGTGTGGGGGGCATTTGGATTGAGTGTTTTAAAACTACAACCAGGGTTATCACAACGGTCGATCAGGAACAAAAAACTTCACCATTACCCGAAGGGCCGGTCATTATTTTTGACTGGGAGAGGATGGGGGATTTTTGGGATCACATGCTTTTCAGGAAGAACGAAACGGAAAAAGTCTTTATCAACTTACTATAATTAAAATTATATCAAATAAATTAAATCAGTATAGAGGAGGGAATATAAAAATTGACTGCCACTGTGAGGGGGATCATAAGAATATGACAGAGCCTTATGCGAGGATCAGATAAATTTTATCAGAACTGTCCCCTCCCCCGCAAATAAATAATGACCGGTCCCTCAGTTCGCGCAGCTTTGGTGTAAAGAGTAAACGTTCATCAACGTGGTGGAGCCTCGTTTCCAGGTCTCTCTCGATCCAAGGAGGGCTAATTTGAACATAGGCCTGGGATTCAAGTGGGAAAAAGCTACGGTACATTGTTGTGCTTTAGTACCTGGAGTTGAACTTTTTATCTAAGTTGTAAAATTCTCGTGTATTCCTTTTCACCATTTCTGGTCATTTATCATTGCAGATTTCCACTTCATCTAACCACGCAATCTAACTCCTTTTTACACCCTTTCTGTAAAATGTCCTTGAACGTGCTTTTCTAAAATTATGTCACCCGATCATTCTTCGTCTCACGAGGTACTCCTGGCCTTGCCAGCGTGACTGGATCATCACGAAATCCTCTTCAACAAAAAACAAGACATTGCGTGACGAGAGGATGTTGTGGTTAGCTGTAGCTGTAGAGAGCAAAATACATCAAACGTCAGTAGTAGTTATGATCGTGTCGCCGATTTCCATGGCTGGTTTACAGGTTTGAAACGAAATGTTGTCAGCTTTTGTCGAGTACAGCTGTTTTAAATAATATATTTTCGATAAAATGAAATAGCCCTCGTACAGTCCAAAATGCAATCCATCACATTTTAGCCAATGTTTACAACATAGGACTACTGATTTACATACATTTTGATAGACACAGTTTGTCGGGGAAAAGTTTTCAAAGAGGGGAGAAAAAGTCGGAGGTAACGCTAAGTTCTTACACCCACGACTGAAAAAAGTCATATTCATTTGAAAATGAAACAAATCCAGACAGAAGTTTTAAGTTACCGAAAAAGAACGCTATCTGATTGTTTTCGGTTTCGACGCAAATAACGTCCCTGACCGATCAGTTTTTTTAACCCCCCGGGGACTGGGGGGAGGGGTATTTTTTCCGCAATTTTAAACACGACACAAGTTTTTCCACTGTAATTTCTTTTTAATATGATTAAACCCCATGAACCCATGCATTTTTAAAAAGAAGAGATCCTGCACTTTCTTCTAGTGCAAAAATGTACTTAATATTTCTTAAAGAAAAAATCTGAAAATACCAGAAAGGTAAATAAAACAGTTTTTTTTTTAAACTGGTTGAGTTTTGGACAATAACATTTTTTTTTGGAACATAATTCTTTCTTAATATCAACTGCTATATCTGCAAAAGCATGTCTTAAGCACTGAACAAAAACAAATAATGCAAATCTTTTGAGTAGATGTGGATGGTAAACTTAAATTTCATAAAAAAAAGTTTTAAAGCCAGTTCACAGTTCAGTTCAGTTTACTATTATTCTGACTTTAGAAACATAACTTTGCTGTACTTGCATCAAGGTCTGCAAGGAGCCATAATTTATCTTGACCTCCTCTGTGGAGGTCTGCCTGTTCCAGCCCTTGGTCTACCAGTCACATCTTTGAGCCTTTTAGCAGAATTATTTCTTTCAGGATCGTCAAATAGATATTCTTGCAAAGTGTGGTATCTTTCGGAGCAAGGTGCTGGACACATACGCACTTGGCAAACTGTACACTCATAGACTGTTTCCACCCGTTGTATGTGTACCTTACACTTTTTGTGAGTGTCAGTTTTCACAGGATGGTGGAACTGCACACGGTTGAAGCGGATATCTGGTAGCTGGGCAGCAATCGCTGACAGGTTATTGGCAGTGTCTCTTCGAAAAGAATTTCCTGCAATAAGTTGCTCCACAAGTTTCTCTTTGAATGCAGCTAGGGTGACATTTCCATGCCCAGCTCTCTTGTACATAATGTGTGCATTTAGTGCAGATAATTCAAGCATATGAAAGAAAATTTTGTAATACCAAATATTTCCCTTCATAAGCCTGGAGCAGGTTGCTATCCGTTGATCACCCAAATCAACTCCCCCCATATGGGAATTGTACATTTTGATTACCTTTGGTTGTGCAAAGTTCTGTTTTTGCCACCGACCTTTGGATCTGACTTTCCTTTCCACCTGACCAATTTCTAAACCCTCAGGAATAGTTGACAGCATGTGGACAAGCTTCTTGTCTTTCCAGGTGACACAAACTAAGTTGTTGTTTTGTCGAAAGAGGGATTCTCCTCTCTTTAGTCTTTTGGCCTGTTCTTTTGTCTGGTCAACAATGTCCTTTGGCAGGAATTTCCTGTTCTCCCTCACAGTCCCACAAGCTAATATCCCTCTTCTTTCCAACTCCAAAAAGAGCGGTACACTGGTGTACCAGTTGTCAACAAACAACCGGTATCCTTTATCAACGTAAGGCTCCACTAGCTTGAGGACAACACGCATGGCCAAGTCTCTGCTGACTGCAGGACCTTCCTTGCCAGTGTAAATCATAGTGTCAAGGACATAGCCAGTTGCAGAATCTGCCACGACAAAACCTTTTAGCCCAAGTTGGCTTCTTTTCAAAGGCAAAAACTGCCTAAATTGTACACATCCCTTGAACTTGATAAGAGTCTCATCCACAGACAAATTCTGTGATGGTGAATAAACTGTGGTAAATCTTGGAAGCAAAGCATTCAAAAATGGCCTGATTTTCCACAGTTTATCTCTATTAGGGTCAGCAGGGTCTGTAGCATTGTTGTTGTCAACAAAGTGCATAAACCGCAGAATATGAAGGTAGCTGTAGTGTCGCAAAGTCTTTAATTGTAACGGAACAGACTCCAATATACAAGAAGAGTTTTTACACCGAAATTAGTCAGATCCAACGTATCCAAAACGTCCTTCGGCTTAGCAGCCAAGCCTGCAATATGCGTGGATACCCGGATATAACATCCCATCCTAACCTATTTAAAGTTCAAAGTCCATTCTAACAACGCAACTTAACATAGAAGAACTAAAACAATGTTCTAGTCATAAACAAAGTCAGGATCTCTCTTTGGCTTTGGTGTTCGAGTTGAACGTCTCAATTCCATTGCTGAGTCGGGAGGACCACTATCTGCGGGATTCCTATCATCCGAGACTGTAGATCCGAGTTGATCCAAAGGAGGCATCGCTGCCCCAGCGAACTCTTCCGACTCCAAGCAGCCGTTGTCATTGTCATCCTTAACTGGTAGCTCCATGCGTGGAACTCTACTAAGAAACTTCACATTACGAGTGAGATGTTGTCCAGTCTCAGCATTGACAAGTTCAAAAGTATCTGGT